TTATGGAGATTAGACCTTTGTCTGATTTGTACTGTCCAAAAATTTTTTCCCAGTCTGTAGGTTCTGTTTTGACTCTTTTGGTGAAGTCTTTTGAATATTATACAGTCTTTTTGTCTCACATGCATAAAAATAGTTCATTTCTACTTTTGCGAAGTTGAATAGTTATTAGTTGGAAGATGCCTAAATAGTAACGATGACTTCCCAGAGTTGGTCAACTCTGGTTTGAGGAAAATGGACACTCAGGTCCTTGCCCCACCTCTCCTCCACCCGTCCTCTGCCCCTTCCAGGATCAGACGGTGAAGGATACTCTGGGATGAAGCACTTCGTCAGCCTCCAAAGCAGACTCCTTGATTCCCTCCTGGCCCCCGCCCTACTCCACTACTCCATACAGCGGTCAGAAAGGCTCTCTAAACACGTAACTGCCATCTTTCTCTCCAACCGAAAACACTCCAATAGTTTCCCATTAGTCTCAGCGTAAAGTGCCAGTGCTTTGCTGTGATGTCCCCATCCCTCTGTGATCTAGCCTTTGCCTGCTTCTCTAGCGTCATTCCTACCCTCCCCCCTCACTCTCTCACCCCTTCTCTCTGTTCCTCCCACGGGCCAAGGACCCACCTCTGGGTCTTCACACTGGCTCTCAGCTCTCCCAGAAAGCTCCCCCGCCTTTCAGCTCACTCCTATGCTCAGGCCCCTGCTACAATGTGGCCCCTCCTGACCACTCAGTTCCAGTAGTGCCTCCCAGCCTGTTTTCTCCCCACTTTTATCGGTTTCACTTCTTTCACTGAAAGCATCACATGTCTGTCTCCTTCCTTGTGTCTTGCCTCTCTCTCCGACGAGATGCCAAGGAGCACAGTCTGCCCAGTGCCCTCCAGGGTCTAGTCCAGTCCCCGGCACACGGCAGGCTCTAACGCACGTCTGAATGAATGGAAGGATAAGGAAACTCAGGGAAGGCATGGCATCCTAGGAAGAGAAATGCTACAGGAAGCGGCCCCAGATCAAGGGCTCCTTTTTTTTTTTTTTTTTTAAATATTT